CATGGGGATGGTTTTGGTGTATAAAACAGAAAGACATGCAAGTAGCGTTGAGGCATAGAAGAAGCACAGAAATGGGGTATTATTACTTAGTGTGTGTGCTTTCTTTTGTTCTACTTTCCTCATTCAGAGTTTCTTCCACAGATTCAGTTCCATTATATTCGCCTGTTCATGATGCTGCTTCACTCAATCGCACCTCTTTTCCTCCTGGCTTCATCTTTGGGGCTGGATCCTCAGCCTATCAGGTAAATATATAATACACACACATATTATGACTGTTGTTAGTACTTTATAATTATTTTGTTTAGAGAGCTAATTAAAGTTTTCTAAAAAGTTTAAGAACTAAATGATGTATTAAATCAAATGCTGCATTTGAAAGTGTGTTTTTAACATTTTTAAGCTTAAATTTATTTTGTTGGACTTGGATCTGCTCGTGTTCTATACCTCTCTCAATCTCTCTTTCTTTATATCTTTTAGGAGAGTATATATAGGAAAGAATCCAAGTTATTGCATTTAGGTACCATCAAGATATGCTTGACTTGCTAGATGACATGTTAATCAAGCAAGGTTGAATTCTTTATTAGATGGACTGAAAAACATTTTTGCTGCAGAAATACTTCGATTTGTTTTTCTTTAACGATATTTTTTTCTTCATATTTTTAAGTGTAAAACTTGATTACGTGTTTTTGTTGTGTTTATAGTTCGAAGGTGCAGTAAACGAAGGAGGCAGAGGAGCAAGCATATGGGATACATTCACCCATAAACATCCCGGTATCTCTCTCTCTCTCTCTAAACATAAAGGACAAGAAAAGATCATCGAGATGCACACTTAACTTTTTTTATTTTTTGTTTAATTAATAAACTAATTAATGAGTCCTACTGTTAAATTTTAAATCGCAAATTGCAAGCATGGATGCAAAGGTTAGTTGGTATGTAAAATAATTGCAAATTGTAAGCTTGCATGCAAAGGTTGGTTGGTATGTAAAATGATTATTAGAGAACGTGATTCTTTTATATCAATATATAAATGATGTACTTTTACAAATTTGAACATTATGAGATTTAATTAATGAACTTTCATTTAAATTTTTAATATAATAAAGTTATATTCAAATTTTATATTTAATAGTATTTTAGCATGTACATTTGTATGGTCAAAATATTTATAATATATATATATTATATTTAAATATATAAATTATATTTTATATTTATGATA